CATAGTGCTCTTCTATATAGAATGGCCAAGATTCAACATTGCCTCTCTGTCACTGGGCCACCATAAAAAAATGGGAAGATAAAAATAAAAACCATTAAATTATAGTTACAAAGAGAGCTGAGAGACAAGCTATGTCTCTGATATCGATACAGTGGTTACATGTTATTTTGTTTTACATATTAAGCAGTTCTATCCTGTTTTAAGCTGATCTGATATGTAAAAACATGAACAGATAAGTTGACAATGATTATTCATCTTCCAAAAGGATTTTTGAATTAAAGCATTCATCAGTGGGTTCCAACTGCCAAACAATTAAATGAGAATCTACATCCTTTGAAAGACATGCGGTGTGACTTCCAAGCTCTTCCTCTGTGGTTCTATGTCCTGGAAGAGTCTCAGAAGCATCTCCTTCCCACGGAAGGGGTCACACTTCTGTTTTCCTTTCTAGCATGATGGGATCGAGTCTCATTGTCTTCAAGGGAAGATCCGCCCTTGAAGCTAGTAAATAAAATAAAGCATAGCTGTACTTTACCCCCATATTCACTTTGAATGTGCCCTGCACACACAACTGGCTGGTTGTTTAAGTAATTAGTATGATAGCCCTCTAGTGGAATTTATAAAGAATCCAAAATGCTGAATTTTAAAACAGAAATTTAAACTTGGGATACCTGCCTCTCTTTTTAAATATTCCTCATAAAAGGAATAAAGCATGCTAGAGAGTGGTTTTGCTATCAGAGCGGTCTGGGGTTAAATGTTGGCTCTACCACTTACTAGCTGTTTAAGTTAATTTAAGAAAGTTTAATTTCTCACAGCCTTAATTTCCTCTCCTGTAAGTGAAAATGAAATTAACATTGTAAGCATATTCAAATGCAAGCTGATGCTTCATTTCTCACAGACTTCTGAAAAAACCCAGAAGTTAACTATCAAGAAATAACAAATCATATGTAAATTACACCCCAACCAAATTCATCAAAGTCTCTGTGAGATAAGATAGGAAACAACTATTTACTTTTCTTGATTAAATCCAAGGAAATAAACAATGATAGGCAGTAAATAGAAAAGGCATTCTAAAATGACAAACATGGACCCCGCAAGTCTTGAGAGTTGATGAAAGGAGAGGTTTTGGTGGTCTGTTCAGCAGAGCCTATGGAAGGAGGTTTCAAATGTAGTCAGGGCTTTCTAATCTTGTAAGAAGCACAGTTCAGTTTTTGGAGTACCACCAGCGAAGAAGTGTTGCCTCCCAGGGCTGTTCTGACCCCTGATGTCTATCTTGGCAGACCACCAGACGGGCTGCTCCCCAGGAGAGCGGCAACGTGTCCTGAAAGCCTGTGTGGCCTAGAGTAAAATTAAGAGCAGCTGACCAGTTCTTTCACTTGACAAGCACATATAATTTCCTTTGAATGTAAAAGGGTTCAAGAATCTTGTGTTGTTTGACAATAATAAAACTTTCTCAGCTAACATCTATGAAGCTGAATTAAGAATCGTAACCCAAGTTCTAAATGTGGCTTTGCCATGTCTATATTTTCTGACAAGCATGCAGAGAGCCAATGATTCCATCACTACTTAGATGGCTCTTGCGCAGTCAAACTCATGGTCTCCTGGGATATGATATCAAGAATCAGATGGTTGTCAGCAGGTACAGCATGAAGTGAGTAGAGCATAACTGGGTGGTAACCTCCAGTGCATTAGGACTGTAAAGTCAATTCCAAATCAAACACAAGATGCTAAACTATCTTCAGCACTAAGACCTCATTCTCCTGTTAATAAGAGCATATGTTGCTTCTTCCCAGTTGAACTCAAAATGTTCAGGTATGTTTCTAATTAAGGATCCTTGGGCCCTACCTATAAATGAATTTTTAATGAATCACCAATAACTGTTAGCCACCATTAAACAGATGAGACTCTGAAAAATATGATCTCTACAAAGAGGATTATATTTTATTTTCAACGTACTATCATGGGGAATATTAATTATCACTACAGAGAGCTCTGTATTTATTGCCTAATAAACTATTTTTCAGTCCATTTTTTGTTCCTATTTATAAGCATTTTATAGGTTTTCCTTTACCACTTTCCCCATTGTTGTCTCAGCCAACCTACTGCAATCACTTTGAAACAAAATCCAGCCTCCACTGTTATTTTCACTTCTTACATTTTATAAAATCTACCAGGCTTCATATATTCCTAGGTTGTAGCACTTTCACATTAATACAGCATTGGTGCACTATCTCAAAGTACCGAGAAAAAAAGACTGAATGTTTAATATTTGTGAAATCTTTTGAAAGTATGTGGTAGACAGCAGTAGTAACAAGTAGCCTTGCCACTTTTAGGTAGAAAGAAACTGCTTTATTACTTTCCCAATTTGCTCAGATTCAAAAGACCTGGGTTAGGGAAGTAAATTTTTCTTTTTACCTTTACCAATCACAAGAAAAACTGAATATAGTTATTCTAAAAGACCTTCACTTAATAGCTACTTCCAAAAATCACTTAATATTGCAATATGTGGGTTAATAAACTTTTAAAGTATGATATACAGAGAAAAAAGTTTTAGGGAATTAAGAGAAGTGTAATCAATTATGGTTTCTCTCTTTTTTTTTTTCTTTCATGGCATTTAATTAACTGGTAGAAATCTATAATAATGTTTTGATGTTGGTTATTATGAATCAGTGTGTGAAGACATGAGGATGCATATTGAGTGTTGCCCAATAGGTCAAAAAATTAAGGCCAAAGTCAAGATGAAAAATAAAAATCTACGTATATTCAATCACCCAACATATATTTACGGAAACCCTACTCTGTATAAAACTTTCAGTGAAATGCAACAAATATTAAAAAATATTTAAGACAAAGCTTGTCCTCAAGGTGCTTACAAGAAATTATCAGAAAAAATCAGGTAAAAATGCTTGCTGACCAGTACAAAGAGAAAGTTCTTATAAGAAAGATAAACCTGATACCACATTCATACTTTAAATAAAGATTGTAGGAAAGTACACAGTAACCTCTGCAGAGTAAGATTAAGGAGGCTTTTCAGCTTTCTATACTTTTTTATGACTTGGAATTTTTACAAAGCATGTATTATTTTTGTAATCAGAAAAAAAAATAAAAAAATATGTCTATGAATAAAAACTGCAAGGAAACAAGTGAATATACATTATTTGTTGACTTAGGTTGTTGGTGGCTTATGGGTAGATATGTCTTGTTTCATAGTTATTTTGTTCTAAAATAATTTTAATGCAGATTTAATTCAGCAATATAACAAGTATAGAGAACCTTTAAATTCTTTGATTTGAATAATCTGTGTTACTATGTATTGGGAGCAGAAGCTTCATTGCCATACTTATTTCTAGCTAATGAATAGGGCTGTGAAGAATATTAAGGCATCTTCTCTATTTCTGTTTGTAATACACTTTTTCAGACTATTCTATGATCCAGTCTAGATCAAAAACAATGGAGTAAACCCATATTAGTCTACTTATAATGCTATATTTCATTACCACCTATTATCGGGGTAACTTTTCTATTATTATTAAATTGGAACATGGTCATTTATGGTTCCCCAATTTCTGAACACTTTCATAATCTTAATATACTGTCCAGAAAAAAAGAAAGTCAAAACTAATCCTGACTACCTTTCAGAGTGTTTAAAAGCTTCAGCAATGAAAAGCCTCATCATCCTTGACCTTCATGTTCCAGAAGCCCCCAGCCGTACTAAATCTAAATGGGACCTTCTTCACTTCAGCAAGTCCTAGTTACATCATTGACCATTTTTCAAATTCTGTAATCTTGTTTTTAGTGTCACTTCAGGCTGAATCATTCTTTTCAGAAATGATACCGATTGTGATATCTCTGTAGCTTTTCTTACTTAGCACAACTCAACTGTCACTTTTAAGTGAAAAATATTCTGTTGGAAAATGAAAATTTTTCTGCTAATGAATACTTCTGTCCACCTGGCCATGAACAAAGGGTGTCTGGAACTTGCTGACTCCATTTAAAAATTGTATTATTTTGTAAAGTTAATTGTGGGTTTCCAAGTATCCTTTAAGTGCTGTTAAATTAATTTACTCATTCTACAGAACAATGGGGCACAGGGGCAGTGATAGAAGGTCTCTGCATCCAGTCCTGGTCCACAAGGCAAAAATGCAGGAACTGAGGCAGGGATTCCAGTATTAAGGCATGACCCACAATTTCATTTTCATGGCAGTTGTGTTTGCATTTTAGAATTCATTTACAGTCTTTTAAAAATAACACTTACATATTCCTATTACCTATAACAACATTTACCAGAGACCTAAGTGAGAACATTTTAAAATTAAGAAATAGGTCTAGGATGTGGAGCTGGATGTAAATGAGTATCTACTTATACATGCACCTGCAGGGCTACTGTAATGCAGTAGAACTCAGACATATTTCACAGGTGGGAAGGAAGAGACCCGTGGTCTTTTCTGCATGTAACTGGCATGACTCCATGTCACAACACCAGGAGAGCAGAGGAGACCAGGAGTGTGTAGAGATGCACAGGGTTCGTTTCACAGTGGGTTCACTTACTTTTAGAAGCAGCGACCTTCTAAAAGCAACTTCTGACCTTTGGAGAGAACTGTTTTTCTTTATTTTCAAAAAAGCATCACAGCTTTATTCTTATTTACAATGAAAAGTCTAAGTTGAAATCATATTTGATGAAGTTCTCAGATAGAAATTATTGAGAGGAAAAATACCTTCATTTTAAAAATCAATTATGCAACAGCTTCTTTTAGGATCTACACAGATCAAATTAGCTCTTAAATTATGATTTTAATAAATGAACATCACCTTGATTTATCAAATTCTAGCGGTAATTGGGGTGGTGAGTTACAGAGCTCACACATAAAAGCCATGCCAGTGGGTAAACTGCCAATGGCTCATTAAATGAGCCTCTACTTAGTCTACGATAATTTCAGCTGCATCTTTATGGAATGAAGGAAAGCTCAACAAAGAACCCATAAAATGAAATGATGCAGACCAACCTTTTATTGCACCCACAATATTTTGGTCTAGTCCTTTCCGGTTGTCATTCAGTCCTCTTTTCCTCTTCCCATTGGGTAAGGAGTTAGCCAAAGTCTTGTCATCAAAAAATGCACACACCAGTTTTCTAAACAGAAGGCTTCCTGAGCGAGTGTAGTTTGACAATATAGAATCCAGCTGAGATTTAGGCATAAACACATCAAAGCCTTCAGCAAGTTGCACTTCTGGCTACCAAAAGAACATAAATATTTTATTAAAAGCAAGATTTGAAGCATTTGAATTTGGGCATATGTGCAACAAAAAAAGCATTACTAGCTATTGCAATGTCCACAGCCTGCAAACCATACAGTCTCAGTTTTGTGTGTATCTGCAACTTACAAAACCAATTACTAGTTATAATTCACAAAACAAATGCTCCAGTTTCAATGTTAGGTCTTGTCAAAAGCAATGGAAAGGAGTACACTGTAAAAGCATTCCTGTCATTAGAAATAGTCAAGGGAAAGTGGGATAATCACAAAATCATATAATCCTGGAGCTACAGGGGAACTGAGACTTCTGGGTAAAACACCCTAATTTTTTAAATGAAGGAATTTAGGCCCAAATGACTTAAAAATAATTTAAATGTACTCAGTGTGTTACAGTTGACAGATCACTTTCCCCTACATTAAACAATTTAATTTCATTTGCCTAAGGACGCAGATATGGGGCTCTCCCACAGGTCCCATGCACTTTGTACTGGACCACTGGTTTTTAGCTGCAGAACTGTATTATTTTTCTCCAATGAAAACCTATGTAAACTAATGTATGAAACAAATAATATAAATGATGGACAGGTGCCCCAGGCAGTTTAAACCCATGCCAACCCCTACTTTGGGTGGGAATCTGAAGCTACACTCCAGAAAACCAATGCACCAGTCACAGAGCTTCCCCGTCAGGGACTTTGTGGCTGGGACACTGGATCAGAAGACCTATAAGGTGCGTTTCAACTTGGACTCGACCGTATATGCTCAAACACTAATAATGATATTCTCTGTCATCACGCCATGGATGTTTATAACTCGACTCTTAATCTTTCCACCTATCTCACATCATTGCCTTTTCAAAGCCTGTCTTAACTCCTTCCTTTCCACAGAGGCAGTGGTGCGCTCTTTGTCACTGCTAATTATCAGACATGCTTATATGAGTGTATTTATTATATTGTATTAGAATCATTTATTAGATTGAGGCCCTGGAACTCCAACTTGGTATCTCTAGGGCCTGGCACGTAGCAGGCACTCAATAAACTCTTGTCCAATAGGTAAAAATTCATTAGTCATAATCTAAACTATCAAGTCATTCACTGTTGGTCACAACATGACTTAAAACGGTAACTTTAATATGAAGAAATGTCACTGGCAAGCTTTCATTAAACGAAGTTCAGAAGGAAACCTCACTTAAGTGAGATGTATTATAAAAGCTTATTCTCAGTTATCATATTTCTCACTTTGCAAACCTGGCACTACTTTAGATTTTTCTAAATCATATTAGAAATGTGAGGATTCAGGATTAGTTTTTTCTCCTGGAGAAGAAAATAGAAATTATTATTTTTGTCCTATTGCTTTTCAAAATGCCTAGCACTTTATGGTCAGAGTAAAGAGGGCTCAGAGAAGGGCTTAAATTATTCAGACAATGTGGGAAGGAGTTTGGGCCCTGCCCCTCCCAAATGGAATTCCCCCCTGGATTGTCCAGAAAGACATCTCATTTTCTCTGCTTCACTCTGCCATTCCACTTTTGGTCTCTGAATGCTTGGTAAATATCACTATGAAAACAGCGTTGTCAGACTGTTTCCCGACGTTTGCATCTTGCTTCTGGTAAAGGTCAGGAGAGGAGGCTGATGGGAGCTGGGGGCTGGACCCCAACTCCCAGAGCAAAAGCTGGCACCCTCCCCCAGGCACTCAGTGTATATCTGTTGAATGATTCAACATAGAAATATTAGGATTGAGAGAATTTTATCATCATGACGAGAGAATCTCATGACATTTCATTCATAACCAGAATTTTATTTTGCACATTCTATGCCTGAATTTAAATGTTTTATTCTAAATGAACTGATCGCAGATTTTTGCCAAGTGCTTCTAAATCATTTGAAAGTCAGAGAAAAAAGAATCCCTGTCTACTTTGTAGAAACTGCTACTCACAGCTATTTAAGAGCTTCCTTAAACAGAAGCTCTTAAATTTGCAAGAGAGGGAAGGGAAAGATACTGACTCGTCTTTCTCACACACCTCTAGAGTCATCACACAGGCCCTGAACACTCAGCCTCTTGACTCCTGAGAGTCCCAGAACCTCTCTTGGGACTCACCTTGTAGGACTTGGTCCTCTGGCCTGAACTAGCCCCCAGGCAGAACTAGCCACTGCCGTCTTCACGCACTTACAGTATTTTCTATGAGCTGCATTTACAGTCCTTGCCACACTGCATTCATCTGGTTGGGAGTTTGTGTTTCTCATCAGAATGTGCACTCTTCTGTATTCAGACTGCAAACTGCCAGTTAGTGCCCAACAGATATTTGTCAGAATACACAAGACGCTATGCAGCAATTCATTCAACATGACTAGTATTGATTTAGCAATTTTTTATCCCGGTATAAATGAAGCAGTGGGTTTCACAGTCTGAGCGCCGTGGTTCAGCATCCCGGTCATCTCATCACAGCACCTGTGCTGCCTCAGAGAGCAGAGCACCCAGGGAACACGAGCGGCCTGAATCAATGCACATTTACTGAGCACACTCTGTGTGTACGGAGTTCAAAGTCGGGCTCAGTACATGAGACATATATATAAATACCTGACATACAAAACGTAGAAAGTGATCAATGCTACATACAAGAGAGGTACCGGGCACGAAGCACCATTTGGCTGGGGAGGGGTGAAGGGATGCAGAAGGGAACGGGACAGCATTTCATCAGGGCCCTGGAGGGAGGACTTAGGAAGCAGAGACGCAGTTGCTGTTTCTGGCTTCTGCTGTGAGTCCCAAAACTAAACATCTAGAAGTTTCTGTGGAGCCAAGAGACTCCCTAAATGTGGATGACTTAGCACTGATTTCTGGGACACTGTCCCAAAACAGAAGTTGTTAATGCTTCCTGTTCCACTTTCTATTGCCAAAAAAATATGATTTTCAAGCATTCTTTCCAGATCAAGGAACACTAACTCGCCCAGTTATGAGCCCCTTACAAAGGAGTCAGTTTTATTAGTTGAGGCGGCCGCCAGTAGCGGCAAGAGCAGAGGTGACAAATCTTGCTCTTCATGTGCTTCCTTTCATGCAGATTTCTTAGCCTGTGGCGAATAGGTGCTAACACTCTATCTACAAGGTGCCAGAAAGCAAACCAATTTTTTAAAAAAAGGAAAAAAAGGATAGCTTTACTTTCTGAGACTTGAAGATAACAGGTTAATTAATCTCAAATTTTCACTTGGAACCTTCTTATTCCTTCCATTTTATAAACATAACTACCATGTAATGATCCACATCTTTGTACATATATTTAAAAACAGGATAAAACTCTTTAATTGTGTCTTTGAATCTCTTTTTCATTTACTGTCTCTAGTTTAAATGAGATCTCTCTGCTTACTAATCATGGCTATGATAGAAACCACCATTCCAATGGAATATCCTCTTAAAAACCAGATTTCCTTAGACAGAATCACTATTTGATACTCACATGAAGACAGAGAGCTAGCATACTAGTTTACAGATTCTACTGAATAATGAAGTAATAATATATTCAATAAATTCTATCAAATACTTGAGGTTTTTGAATGATGACATTCAAAGTAGGTGCAGAACTTATGACACTTAGAGTGATCATTGTAAGAGCCAAGAGTCTGAATTCCACTATGAATTGGGATTTTCATGTATGTCTTGTCTATTTTAGGGACCTCAGCCACTTAGCACAATGATGTATCAAATACTGACTTTCCTTATCCTGTGGCATTACGTCTTACACCGAGCGAAGTTCTGGAGGCAAAAACTCTTAAGGACTCTTAAAAAGTGTTCCTGGACCCAGGCTTGTGGATACTAATCATCTTGTCTCTCTTTCCATTTCAGTTGTGGTCTCCCACAGCTTTGCTTAGAAGTAAGTTTACCCTTGAATATTCCAAGTTTGAAACTGCATGGGTCAACTTGTGGATTTTTTTTCATAATTACCCCTACTGCTATGGTTGGAGGTCCGGGGATGTGAAGGGCTGAACGTATGTGCTGTTCTGTGCCACTTTACATAGCAGACCTGAGCATCTGTAGGTTTGGGTATCCACAGCGGGTCCTAGAACCAATCCCCATTAGGTACTGAGGGACAACTCTCTGGTTAAGTTCTTGAGGAGTCAAAAGTTTTATGTAGATTTTTGACTGTGTAGGGGTTGGCACTCCTATCTGGCATGTTTTTAAGGGTCAACTGTAGGTGGGGTCAAGACCTAGCTTGGGTAGAAGATCCTCTAACCAAGAAAGTTAAAAAATTTCTCCCCTAAGTCCCTGTGAGAATATCATGTGACTCCCCTGTATAATATAAAGAAAAATATGTAAAACAATTTGAAAGAGACAATACAAATTAATCCCAGAGGGAACAGTTCTGATACAAGCTTTTTATATAAGGTATTATTAATACTAAATTTTAGTAAGATGTAATAAACTCTATGTGGTCATAGATTGAAAGAGTAAAAAGAAGTGCATGAATATTTACACTGGGCACTAGCCCCAGATTTTCAATCGTAAATGAATAAATTAGACACAATACTTCGTATACTTGGCAGGCTAGCTAGTCGTTTCAAACTGGCTCAAGACTGAAACCTAGAAGAAATCTGTGGCTGAAGAGGCAGGATTTTGTTGTTGAATAAAACTAATTGTTTTTGGACTGAAAACATATAACAGAATTTATAAGAATGTTTAAAGGCTGTGAATTTAGTCTTTCTGTTCACAATACTGTCATATATACATTGAATCTTATTCTCATTTAGTATTTATTTAGCATTACATTAGGTATATTTCTAGGTAAATAAACTTTAGCTTATAAAAAAAATTTAAAAAACACAAATCCCCTATAATTGATTTGATTTTGCTTGCAAATGTGATCTGTTTCTGTTTGGGGGGGGAAAAAAAAAAAAGTCTGTTTCCTACAAGCCAGGTCTGCTCCAAGTGGATTTAGCAAGAACTACTATTACCACTTATTAATGCTCTTCCAAGATCATGGCCACAGGCAAGGTTTGC